TGCGTTTGTGGCCCAGTCTAAGAGAATATTGGAAGTGGAACGGGCCATTCCGAAAACAGAACGGTTCATTCTGCTTAAACACATGGAGTGTTATTTTTGGAATTGGAACGACCCGTTCTTTGCCCGTTCCAATTTCAAAAATAACACTCTATGTGTTTAAGCAGAACGGGCTGTTTTGCTTCCAGAACGGCTCGTTCTACTTCCAAAAAGCGTGCACACTGGGCCACAAATGCAAAAATAAAAAATAAAAAATTAAAAACAACTCAGAATTCTGTTTCCCGGAAACCGAATTCTAATCACACAAAAAAAAAAAATTTGAAGCTCAGAATTCGGTTCCTGGGAAACCGAATTCTGAATGTGAACAGTGATCAGTGTTAGTTGTGTAAATAAAGCGTAATAGATGCTGTTTTTATAATTTTTTTTAAAAAAATTCTATTTACGTAAAAAAATTCCACAAGTACCCGTACTTTTTCGTCGCCGCAACATGCCACTATTGTTGTGGCGAACTTATGGTGGCCATTAATACCATCAGTCCACCTCAGCTAGTGCCGTAGCCGTATCATATTATGCCATCACCCAAATTCAAGTATCGTCATCATAGTGCTACCATAGTTGAGTCTCATCTTAATTATACAAAATTAACGTTTCCTTTTGGGTAATTACAACATAATTCCCGGCACAAAACCATGCTATCATAAGTTAGTTTTTTTCCTTAAACATTGTTTTCATATAAATATTGAAAACTTAGTAATAGTAAACCCTAGAGATGGCACACAATTTGTACAGTTTCGAGATTGATATAATTGTGGAAAATCAATGTTGAAAGAGATTCACTAAAGTAGTGAACCAATTCAGACGAAATTTTGATTAGAGTGAGAGGTCCCCATCCTTCACCAATACCACATTCTAAGACAAAAGAGGTGGCACGCACCCATTGGATAACGTGGGACCTATTTTTTCACTTCTCTTTTTCCACCCTCTATATAAACCCTTAACTCCCGTTTCCCTCTCACTCTACTACTATCACAAACACAAACACACCACATATTTTGCTTATTACACCACCCATGGCATTGGCAGTGGCACCAGAAGAAGCACCCATCCACGGCGATATATTAGAGGCCATATTCTCCGTTCTAAAACCGGAACGACCCGTTCTCAAACCCAGCAGAACAGCCCTTCTGCTTCCAGAACGACCCGTTCTACTTCCAGAACGACCCGTTCTGCTTCCAGAACGACCCGTTCTGCTTCCAAAACGACCCGTTCTCCCTCTGGAACGACCCGTTCTCCAAACCAGAACGGCTCGTTCTCCAATTGGAACGGCCCGTTCTCCCACTTCATTTTCTAAGCATTCCCTTATTCCGAAACGGCCCGTTTCACTTTTGAAACGGCCCGTTCCGGGTAACGAATTGGGTCCTTGGCCTAACGAAAAATTGGGCTGTTACAATATGCATCAAAAACTTTAGGTCTTTCTTTGTAATTGCATAATTTAAATGGTCAGCTTCACTTATTACTAATGTAAAAATTACTTTTAAAATTGAGATTTTGAACGCAACGATGAGATTTTGTGTACTCAGTATTATTTCCTGAGGGTATCTTTGGATGTTCCCTTTTTTTTTTTTTTGTTAAGCTGACAATAGTATAAAAATTTGGACCAAATTTTCAGTGTTGCCTCAGTTTCAGTAAACTTTGCTCTTTGGGTATAATTAGTCATACAATTGTCAAATCTCGTTAATGCATCAATACTTAAGATTGGTTTGTTGTAAGAATATGAAGATTAAAATTAATTTAAAAAAATTCAGGATTTTTTTTATTGAATTCTCTAAGGATTTTTGAGTGATAGGCACGAGAAATGGAAGCAAAAATTAAAGAATGATTTTTCATCGTTATTTTTCCATTCAACAGCATGTGGTTATTAGAGAAAACCAAGAGGTTTCAAGAAAGAGTTTATCGATACTATTCATCGTTATGTGATTTTTGTTTTCTGATTTTTCAATTGACAAAAGGACACAAATGGCATGTTGGAAAAACATGGATAAAAGCCTAAAGGAAACCTGAACACAAAACATTGGCACCAAAAGCCCTTGTTAAGAGTTCAACACCACAAAAAGATGCAGCAAAATCTGTACCTATCTTTGGGTGAAAGTGGTGAAGACGAATAGAGGACTTTATGCAAAAAAAAAAAAAAAAAAAAAAGGTAAAATAGTGTGTGGGATTTGTAGGTGTTGAATAAAGGTAAATGAGGAACAATCGAGAAGAAAAGCAGGGAATGGAGCACATGTTTATGTTTCTCCCTCAATTATTACTTTGTTTAGAATTGGAACCTCTTTTCTTTTAAAAAATAAAATAAAATTAGATCCTCTTAGTAATGATATCTTCTTTGTTATAAATTTCATCCTTACACTTTACATGTTTTAAATAACTCATACATACAAATGGAGATAAATAATATTCATATATCACAAATTAAAGCTGTATTTATTTTCTTGAAGGACCAGAGGAATTGAATGATCTTTTCTTTTTCAAAAATCTCTTGAAAAACTCTCAGGAAGATAAATTTGTTGAGCAAGCTTATGAAGAAGATCAAATGATAGGTGTATCAAGTTGTTTTCTGAGAATATTTTAAGAACAAGTGTTATTGGAAAACACGAGATCTCAAGTCAAAGTCCCTTTAAGCTTATGCGTTTTGGGTAAAATGACGTGGTTCATCACGTCCAAATTTTGGTTCCAAACTCACGGATTCGTTTGGGCTTAATTATAGGTCCACCTGCGTAGAGCTTTGCATGTTTGGGCTCAATAGATCAACTTCAGCTGGGGCCTTATGAAATCTTTTGGATGATTCAATTCAACACATTTTGACCAATAATATTTAAGGAGCAATCCATTAAGATGAACAAAATGTGGGAAAATTGTTTCTGCACCTAACTTATTATATTCTGTATCCATTAGTGTTCTTCTATAATTCATAATAGTTGTAACCACTCTCTTAATTCAGTGATGGTAAGATCTATCTTCAGATATCAAGAGTAGACCTGGTCTCAAATTCAATTTTTGTTTGTGTTAAAATTAATATTTAGTCGATACTTTCCAAGTGTATTCAAACTTAATTATCAGTTTTGAAACTGATATCATAGTTAATAATGATTGTTATAATAAGCTTCATGCAAGAAGCAAATGCAATTGCCAAATGTGTGACATGTATTTAATTTTATCACAAGAGAAAATGACAATTTTGCCTCAGCTTTGCCCTTTTTGGTCAGGTGAGGCCAATGGTCTGTACTATTATAGTCTGCAGCTGTAGGGGAACCAAAAATCTTGGGTTTTGGAAGTGACTTCCTTTTCACATGGACACTATTGGTATTAGATTTGGAGCAACACAATTAGATACACACACCATCTCTTACTTATTATTACCATCATTAGGGTTTCTTTTTCACACACAATAGAGAAACCCATGTCAGGTGTCTGCCAAGATTTCAAATTTCCAACAACTATGGTAGGTCAACTGCTAATGCAACGTTGACATTTTCCCAGGCATGTTTCCTTAAATGCTATGCTTTGCTTATCATTGCTTCTTTTCCACAATGTATGAGTTGGGTTTATTCCCAAAGCAAGCAAAGATAGTAACTTTGTACAAAACCACCACATGGGTGCCACTCTCTCCCATGATTCCAACCTCAAAATCTAGACATGGCCTAATTTGAATTTGGGGTACCATATTCTGAAAATGTATAGGGTTCACTCTCAAATCCCTCACCCTATTCCTGCTCCATATTCTTCTTATGACACTTCTTCTTCATATTCCCCCTCAGGCTCTTATGTCTCTAACTACATAAAACATTCAGCTCCATCTCCAACTTATGGTTCATCAGGGAATAGAATAAGCCCTGCAATTCTTTTCATCATAGTAATTTTAGCAGTGGTGTTTTTCATCTTGGGTCTCCTTCACTTGCTTGTTAGATTTCTCATAAAGCACGGGTCTTCTTCATCAATTTCCCAATCAAATAGATACCCTGACATGTCTGAATCAGATGCTTACCAGAGACAGTTACAACAGCTCTTCCATCTCCATGATGCAGGCCTGGATCAGGCCTTCATAGATGCTCTCCCTGTCTTCTTTTACAAAGAGATAATAGGCTTGAAGGAGCCTTTTGATTGTGCTGTTTGCCTATGTGAGTTTTTGGAGCAAGACAAGCTGAGGTTGCTTCCCATGTGTAACCATGCTTTTCACATTGAATGCATAGACACATGGTTGCTGTCCAATTCAACTTGCCCTCTCTGTAGAGGGACTCTCTATTCACCAGGCTTTGCCTTTGAGAACTCAACTTTTGACCTTGAAAGTCAATGTGAGGAAGATGGGGTTTCAGGCAGTGGTGGAGGTGCTGTTGCTTCTGTTAACAAGACAGTAGAAAGTCACATAGTGAGTGGGAAAAGAGTGTTTTCTGTTAGGCTTGGAAAATTTAGAAGCACTAGTAATGGAGATGGAGTGGAGAGAGGTGAAGGAGAGAGTAGTAGTGGTAATTTGGATGTCAGGAGATGCTATTCAATGGGGTCTTTTCAGTATGTGGTGGCAGATTCAGATCTGAGAGTGGCTTTAGGCCCTTGTAGTAGAGGTGATGGAGGCAGCAGTATGAGACAATTCAAGGGAAGAGGAGCCACAAATGGAAGTTCTTTCATTGATGGGGATGTTGAGGGAAAGAAAATCAGCATTGCAAGGAGAGGTGAAAGCTTTTCTGTTTCCAAGATCTGGCAATGGTCTAGAAAAGATAAGTTGACAAGTTCATCAGATGTTGATTTCCATAATTCTGCTGTCACTTCAACTTTGCCATGGATGAATAAAGACAGAGGTACTTGATACATGAAGCTAGATTGTATTCTGTATTTTAACTAATTTCATATTTTCGATGAAGGAATCCATTTGTTGAGCTCCTCCTGCTTACTCTCACACTTTGATTTTACATTTTTTATTCGTAGTGATAGAACTTGTAAATTGTGCCATAAACATAATCAGGCAATGCTCTTTGAACTAGAATCAATCTTGAGTGTGTAAGGAATTAACTCCCAATTCTATTTTGTGTGTTGTAGTGTGTTTCTATCATTATTTTGTCACAAATTTAGTTTTTCACATTACGGTTTTTACAGTACCCTTACTTACACTGTCTTTTATAGTAAAAAAGAGGGGGTAGGAAAACTAAATTTATACTATCTTCTAAACTCAAAAAGATAAATAGTTTAAGATTTTATATTATTATCTAATTATAAATAATTGTGTATGAAAAATTTATTGATTTTTGTAATAATTATTTTAAAAATTATATAACGATAATTTATTATTAGTTGATAGTATAATGTATGAAAAATATAACTATGAAAGAGTCCCACCATATGATTTTGAACATAATATTTGAACGTGGGCCCCTAAAATCATGTGATTATTTGTTAAAGTGTCAAAAGTGGTTTTTATTAGCAATTTCTTTCAAGGAGCAGGAAGATAAAAGTGAAGTCAAATTGGGGTTGCTTTTTGGATGCTGTGGTTTTCTCTAGAGGCTTGCTTTTTCGCTTTTGGGTTAAAAAGAAGTGAAAGTTACAAAGAAGGATTCTATTCCTTCTTCCGTTAGTGTTAGATATTCTTGTGTATGATGATCATCCATGGAAGTTATCCTTTTTGTATGGTTTAGCACATAACACAAAGGTGACGAAATGGTGGAAACTGAAATGTGGGGTGTGCAGAGATTTTCAGATCAGCGGCAGGAGAATGGTGGTTTGCGGCGGCGATGTGTGCATGGAGGATCTGTCGGAGAATCGAACATTGTGCATGAAACAAGTGTGAACTTGAAAGCTTTATTAATACTACCATATTATTAAGTTTTAATTTAAAGTTTAAACCTTGGTTTTTGTTTTTAATTAAAAGCTTGTGTTTGGGAAATGGGAATCTATAGATTCCTTTTCATTTGATTGGCAAACAAAATTAGTCACTTATTTTATGACCTTTTTGTTTGATTATTTAAAACACAGAAAAGTTGTAAGAAAATTGTAAAAGAGGAAGTGGGAAGGATTTGTCGTTGGCCAAGCCTGAAAGAGGAAGTGATTGTGATGTTTGGGATATGACATAATACCAAAAAGGAAAATAAAAAAGAATAATGAAGAGGATAATCTGACGTGGAAATTTGCAATGGATATGTTTGGTTGCAGCAAGAGGTTGTCATGAGAGTTGGGTCTCCTTCACTTGCTTGTTAGATTTCTCATAAAGCACGGGTCTTCTTCATCAATTTCCCAATCAAATAGATACCCTGACATGTCTGAATCAGATGCTTACCAGAGACAGTTACAACAGCTCTTCCATCTCCATGATGCAGGCCTGGATCAGGCCTTCATAGATGCTCTCCCTGTCTTCTTTTACAAAGAGATAATAGGCTTGAAGGAGCCTTTTGATTGTGCTGTTTGCCTATGTGAGTTTTTGGAGCAAGACAAGCTGAGGTTGCTTCCCATGTGTAACCATGCTTTTCACATTGAATGCATAGACACATGGTTGCTGTCCAATTCAACTTGCCCTCTCTGTAGAGGGACTCTCTATTCACCAGGCTTTGCCTTTGAGAACTCAACTTTTGACCTTGAAAGTCAATGTGAGGAAGATGGGGTTTCAGGCAGTGGTGGAGGTGCTGTTGCTTCTGTTAACAAGACAGTAGAAAGTCACATAGTGAGTGGGAAAAGAGTGTTTTCTGTTAGGCTTGGAAAATTTAGAAGCACTAGTAATGGAGATGGAGTGGAGAGAGGTGAAGGAGAGAGTAGTAGTGGTAATTTGGATGTCAGGAGATGCTATTCAATGGGGTCTTTTCAGTATGTGGTGGCAGATTCAGATCTGAGAGTGGCTTTAGGCCCTTGTAGTAGAGGTGATGGAGGCAGCAGTATGAGACAATTCAAGGGAAGAGGAGCCACAAATGGAAGTTCTTTCATTGATGGGGATGTTGAGGGAAAGAAAATCAGCATTGCAAGGAGAGGTGAAAGCTTTTCTGTTTCCAAGATCTGGCAATGGTCTAGAAAAGATAAGTTGACAAGTTCATCAGATGTTGATTTCCATAATTCTGCTGTCACTTCAACTTTGCCATGGATGAATAAAGACAGAGGTACTTGATACATGAAGCTAGATTGTATTCTGTATTTTAACTAATTTCATATTTTCGATGAAGGAATCCATTTGTTGAGCTCCTCCTGCTTACTCTCACACTTTGATTTTACATTTTTTATTCGTAGTGATAGAACTTGTAAATTGTGCCATAAACATAATCAGGCAATGCTCTTTGAACTAGAATCAATCTTGAGTGTGTAAGGAATTAACTCCCAATTCTATTTTGTGTGTTGTAGTGTGTTTCTATCATTATTTTGTCACAAATTTAGTTTTTCACATTACGGTTTTTACAGTACCCTTACTTACACTGTCTTTTATAGTAAAAAAGAGGGGGTAGGAAAACTAAATTTATACTATCTTCTAAACTCAAAAAGATAAATAGTTTAAGATTTTATATTATTATCTAATTATAAATAATTGTGTATGAAAAATTTATTGATTTTTGTAATAATTATTTTAAAAATTATATAACGATAATTTATTATTAGTTGATAGTATAATGTATGAAAAATATAACTATGAAAGAGTCCCACCATATGATTTTGAACATAATATTTGAACGTGGGCCCCTAAAATCATGTGATTATTTGTTAAAGTGTCAAAAGTGGTTTTTATTAGCAATTTCTTTCAAGGAGCAGGAAGATAAAAGTGAAGTCAAATTGGGGTTGCTTTTTGGATGCTGTGGTTTTCTCTAGAGGCTTGCTTTTTCGCTTTTGGGTTAAAAAGAAGTGAAAGTTACAAAGAAGGATTCTATTCCTTCTTCCGTTAGTGTTAGATATTCTTGTGTATGATGATCATCCATGGAAGTTATCCTTTTTGTATGGTTTAGCACATAACACAAAGGTGACGAAATGGTGGAAACTGAAATGTGGGGTGTGCAGAGATTTTCAGATCAGGATTGTGGAGTCATGAAGTGACATCATGAGCCAGTGGATGGTGGTGGGGTTATATGACTCTGCCTCTGGATGCTCTCAATCTAAAACAATTTTTTTTTAGTTTTTTTAGGATTTATGTATTTGTTTAATTATTAATAAAAATATGTTTAGTAAAATTAAGCCAAACATATCCTAATATTTTATACTTTTCTCGGAAAGCTTGATTAATATTAAGAGTATATTGTTTGTGTATCAATGGTGTCAAAAGTGTCTACACTTTATTGTTTAATCAAAATTTATTATATGTTGTTTAATAAAAAATCATATTAATATTAATTTTTATGTAAAAAATTTAAAACTTTAATAATGCTAATACATTGACAATGTAAAGTTGTCTCTATTTCCTCTATTGATTTGGTATTCTTTGTTGGCTTAACTCTTGAAAAGTCTTGGGTTTGCTTCCAATTTTAGTGATCTATTGTTAACAAGTCAGATCTATAATATACTAATATAGACACGTTATTTGATTGAGGTTAGTTGTCTATCCTAATTTTGGATCGGGAAAACTTCCTTTCTCCAACTCTGTCTACCAAAACCCAACCCTTTAAATATTATTCACAATTTGAAAATTCCTACATTAAGCCATTTGGCATAAGTTATTAATGAGCCGATCCAACACCTATGTATATTAAAAAAATTGCGGGCTCCATTTTCGATGACTTATGGTATTAGTAATAAGGAAAATAATTTATGAATTACACATTTTTTTACACCATGAATTACACTTTTATAAATTAAATTTTGATGTTTTGCTTGCTATTTTAAGACAAAAGCCCGTAGTAACCGGATTACTTATATCTCCACCTCCCCTATGTTTTTCTTTTTAATTCTTTCTGGGTCAACTTAGACTAAATCTTAATGAGTTTGCATAATAATTAAATATTGTAAGTTAACATGTTATAGGATGACTTATTTAATGAAGAACTTGTGTCCAATTTAATAAAAGAAACTCATTAAATAAATGATAATCATAATAATGAAATTAGTCAAATATTTTTATCAGAAAATATGGGAGAGGAAAAAAAAATCCTATGACTAAATAAAAGGTAATAAATAAAAGTTAATCATCTATATACTGTAAGTGTAAAACTTTTTACACTAGTAATTAATCATATCTTTTAAAGTTATTTATCTTATTATTATTTTATAAATAAATAAATGACATATCACTATTAAAAGATATAATTGATTGTCAGTATAAAAAAAATTTATATTAACAGTGTATAGGTGATTAACTCAATAAATAATGTAGACATTATGCTGGGGCGTGGGAGGAAAAGGGTAGGTTGTCCACCTCCTCATTATTGACCTGTAATAATGGGGACACATCTTTTATATGGTCACCGACTATACCTTAGCAAAGTGACAGAGGCACAAATGACCCATTCAAGAAGTGGGGATAAATATGGGGAAAAAAGAAAGAAACTTAGTTTAGTATTGGTGGTTGGCTGGATCTCATAGAAAGATACCAACTCTGCGATGTGTACTTATTATTAAGAGATACTCTAGCAAGTAAGATATCAATTAACGACGTTTGTCTCTCTCGACTGGATTCAATGTGATGGAGAACAATGTTAACCCTGTTCGCGGTGGGTCTAAGGTGGGGCAAAGAAAATATCAAAACTAACGAGGTGGTTAAGCACTAGAGGGATTTTAGAGTTGTATAACATCGGATATTTATTTGTTTAATTTTTTTTATAATAACTTTAAAGAACAGATGAAATCTAAAAAAATTGGTAAAAATGTACATATTATTCAGACACTCACTTGTGTTCTTCTGTTTATGCTTTTATTTAACTAGTAGTGCTAATTAGTGAACAAGTTTTTTAAGTGCTCTTGGACATCTTTCCGTTCGACAGAAGTTCTATTTTACTAAAAATCCTTTGAAACACAATTCAAACTTTATAACGTTTCCCGCATATTTTCAACGTTATAATTAAATCAATCCAATGCACACTTGATAGCTTACTAAATAAATTTTATAAAAAAAAAAAACGTTATCCACTCTCTAATGAATATTAATAATTGTACATTCATTTCTTCATATATAAAAAATGTACAGTACAAAAAACAAATAACCTTGGGATCTTACACCAAAAAATATATACTTTAGCGTGGTGCAAGAGTGCTGCAAGCAATAAATATACATCTTTTTATTATTCACCTTGGATCAGTGAAACTAAAATGTTTTTAGGGGGGAAAGGGTGGAGTGTTGATATTGTCACAAGTCTTGTGCTCTTGCTTACAATGTTATTTACAAATAACTATAGAACTCTTTTAACAGCAAGATCGGAATTTAAAATTTAAATCACCATGTGACGGTCTTAAAGTTGAATTTTCCAAGGACCAATTCAAACTGAAAGGGCAAACGTGCAAGAGAATCATCTTGTACCAGATCACCGAATTCGACAATTTTAGTTCTCTTGATGTTCTTAATATTAGCTAAAATGCGTAGAATTTCCTTCAGCTCTAAGTCAATTACCATTTGCATAAAAATCTTTTGCGTTTCAATACTCACTGGTACAGCTTAAACATACCAAACCTTGCGCATTGACTAGGATAAATTTACACTATTCTAACATGATTTGATAAGTTCAGATTTGAGTTGTTGAATTTTGAACCGAGAAATTTTTCTACCATTGACCAATAATTTTAAGGGGTTAGCCTATTATATTAGTTGGAACTTTTACTTTCCATACACATGAAATTTATAAGATTTCATTCCTGGAGCGTGTTCAGAGAACATAAAAGACTCTTGCCAAGTTTAATAAATGTGCACATCACATTTTTGCAATAGATAATCCTCACTTTCAAATTTCAATTAAACAGTCAAAAGCCGAGCAAGAAAGTTGACATAACTTTGAGATTACATTTCATTAATCTTGTGGGGGAAAAGTTACATAAAATCAAATATACCAATCGTCTAAAGGATATCAAATTGCATTCAACAACACTATAACTTTAGACAGACAGCAAGACCGAGCGACTACCTCCGAAAAAATAGCAAGAAAGCACCTCAAATACTCAACAATGACACAACTCTCACCACCTTGAGAGGCAAAATTTGACTTTGACATTTTCATACAGGAATATTTTGTACTAATGTACATAAACCGCCTAAGTAAAAAAAAAAAAAATTAAAACAAAGATGTGAAGCCACCAAATTGACTTCAAATATAAGCCAAAAAGTGGTCCAGATGCTCGAACCATACCTTCCTAATTTGAAGGAATGAAACCTGAAAACTGCACCAGTAATTGTGGAGTGCTGGGGAAAATGAAGGGTTCTGTGCGTCGCCTTAGTCACCCCTGATCATTGTGGGCTTCATAAATCACGAGGGAAATTATTGACTTGCCCTTCCTCCAGTGTATCCTTGCCATTTATCTTGTATGCTATCCTTATACGCATGACAAGAGATTTCTGGAAAAGATAGTAGTTGCTAGCAATCAAGTCTTCTCTAATATCAAAAATATTAAACTAAAAATGTATTGGCTTTGATTAACCGTCTACAAGTAGTGGTCATTCAATAACGCCAGGAACAAATCATTAGCAGTTTTGCAACATGTAATATCAAATATCAAAAATCAAATTAACATAAACTAGAAGTTTAGAATTTAAATCATACAAGAACATGGTAGAACACAGATATCAGCAGTAAAGCAATAATAACAAAGACCATCTACCTTCCCATGCTGGCTATTAGTAATTTTCAAATTTTGGGTTATGGACCCATTTCCAGCTGCAGGAAGAGTATTGCTGCTAGCTGGATCCAAGTGCAATTGAAGAAACTGAAAGTCAAAACAAAATATGTCAGTACTAGATGATGAATGTAACAAAGCAGATCAAAATATTAAAGAATAGATGTAATTATTTAGCACTCAATAGCTCTGATAATTAACTAGACTAATACAAGGGAAATTATTAAAGCCATTGACAGCTGCAAACATTTTTTTCACTAGAATCCATCTATTGAGACAAACAAACAGCCAGCATACCATTATAACAATGAAGATCACGATATCTATAATTACAATGATGTTGATGATCTAAGCACTGTATGCAAGAAAGCTCGGTAGCATACTGATTTAGCATACTGATTGCAATACCTTAGGAACTGCTGCTTGGAAAACAAAATCTGTATATGTATTAGAGGACAAATTCATAAAAGTAGCCTGGATAACTGCTGTTTGTGGGTTTCCTGGTTGTTTTGAGAAATTGAACGTCAACCTCAAGGAGCTGCTCTCAAATGCAGTTATAGATGGATAAACTGGTCCATTGTTTTCTATTCAAGATAAGAAAGGACAAGGAATCAGTACTTCGACTAAATTTCATTCAATGATACTGCCCAAATGCTAAACAAAGTTTGCAACCTGTTGGTGGGCTGGAGGCCAAACCATCCA